ACCTGGAATGATCGGGGTGGCTACAGCGGGAAATGCCGATGTCACATGTCGTCATGTGCATGACTCGGAGAAACCCGGGTCTGCGATCTCGTCCCTCCGAGTCAATCACCTCTCCAGCAGCGTTCGAACTCTCACTGCTGGAAAGTGAACATGAATTAAAATCAGTAACTGTGTCATTCAATGAACAAACACGGAATAGAAAAAGTTCACATAAGTTTACATGAACTGCATAATTCAGCTTTTCTCATACGATTCAATGCGACCCATCGACAGACCCAGTTTCCCAATTAATGGATGTAATTTTCCGATGGTCCTTGCTGCTAGCACCAGGATTCATTGGAACACTCATCGTTCAGGAGGCTCACGCACAATACACAAGGAACTCATCTTCATTTAGCCAGTCAGTACTCCCCTCGATAGCGGCGTCCATGAACTCAATCTTCTAGCTTGTCGACACCGCCTGGGAGATTACAATACTTAAACCCCGTTCCATCGTATCACGGGCAGCTGGATGAGATTGGCGAAACAGAATACTCAAAAGTATGCTCTGTAGCATTGTATCAATGAGATCGTTCACTCATTGACCTCCATCTCAGGGATCTCGTCGATCACCGTTGGCGTTGACTAACCATCTCAAAACTTCCAGCTAGCTCGTCAGCTCTTTCAAGATCATCTTTATTTTTGACGTGGGCTTATACCTCTTTCAGCAGTTCTCAGCGTAGCTTCACGTAATAAGAGCAGGCGCCGCACATCTACCTGTATTCCCTATGTACGTTCCAGTGCTTACCAGGCCCTGTACAGGGGAGTCTGCGTCTGAGGCTTGAGGGCTTGATCCCAATGTGCTCCGAAATCCTCTACACAAATTATCCGAGACGCGAAGGGAGGTTGCTGGATTGGATATTGCGGTAGCAGGTGGACCAGTGCACCTTACATCTTCCTGTGAATATTGCTCAAACTTGATTGGCAGCTGCCCTGTCTGTCATGCCAATGGTATTGCCTCTCCTGGAATACAGTGGAGGGCATCAAGTTCGTGTCTATGCAACGATACACAGTGCATGTTGCGAGAGAGAAATGAGCGCGGGATCGGCTGTCGCCTTTCTTGAGCCAGGAGCCTCTCGCAATGCAGGCTTGGATATCAGCTACTCCTGTCGCATCCCCGTTCTACAGATTGTTCAATGCTGATTACTTAGCTTCATCTGTTATTCCTACTGATCTGACAATTGCTATTCGACGACCGATGCGGCTTGGTGATGCAACAATTGAGCGACTATTCGAGCGAAAATGAGACTATTTAGCCAGAGAAGATTTCATGCATTCACCAGCCTCAAGTGTCCGTACTTATACACAAATGCTGCCAAGAGAACTTCCTATCACATCGCTTCATCACCGAGCTGACCTTGAGTGTACACTGACTGGACACCATCTAAAGTAAGAAACTTGCCTAATTCATTCTGGAAGCCGCGTCATCGGCACAGACGTCGTCGCCAAGTCGTCGATGCTCTCCCGGGATTGAGCAATGACTCGAAACTGCCGCAGCGACGACGACGGCGTCCTATTGACATACATCACCTGCCCCCTACAGGTGCGGGAGGCTCGCCGTCTCGCGCGCAATTCCTACGTCTCATCCGTTCGAAACATCTCTGAAACGGGTCCAGTGCTGATAGAGTCGACTTAGAAGTACAGACAGAATGAATGAAAGATACCAGACAGGAGTGCGAGAGAGAGAAACTAGAACGCAGAGGGCAAAACGAAAGAGACCGAGACGGAGAGACTTTGATGACACGAGTTGCGTGAGATCCCACGAAAGGTGTAGCGCGTTAGAATTCCCCGTTATAATGTACGGCTGGCTCGTGTAGTTGTTCGATGGGGATGGGAGTGCAGTGGAACTCCTCGTGGTACTATGAGCGCTTGTGGTGGCAACCAGGATTCGACCTTGGGTTGACCACTTGGTTTTTAAATGGTGCTCTGCTCATCGTGGGGAGCAAGGCCCCACGGTCTGAACACAATGAATGTGTTTACACTTGATATAATGGCGTACCGACAAGCCTCGCGAAACATTGATCTCCAGCGGTGGCTTAGCGGCGCGGCGCAGAACGTTAGACTATTAAGATCATATACGACGATATTGCAGAACTTTAAAGAAGGGACGCACGAGACAGCGCGCCCCTCCTAAAGTCGAACCTGTAACAAGCATCATTCCATTAGTGCCGCGCCCTGTGTGGCATCACGACCAGGAAAATCAGACGCCACGTAGACTCACTGTTTTTGGATAACTGGCTGGACCAACGAGGATTTAATTTTGAAGGACGGTAACACGTCTGAGGATGGAAATGGGAGGTACGCCCGGTACTGTAACTCACAGTATAGTTGCACCGGCGACAGTCACAGTGATTTAATTGGGAGCAATGCGTATCTCTTTAGACCCACCTTGGCCCTTATTTGTGGGCTGCGTAGGAGTACTTATAGTTTCCCGTAGGCAAAATGACATATGACCTCTTGAGTGTAAGGAGGACGAACATAGGTCGGGGTGGGAATCCGCCACCGACGCGTTTAGTCCGCGTGTCAATCTTTACACGACGCAGTCACGCGGCCTCAGCCTCTCGTGCACACCACGTCGCTGCGGCTCAACCAGCGTCCAGTGAGTTGAGCCCTATTCCGTGAAGACAATCGCACTAATCTCAGACCAATCGGCTGTTGGACAACAACTCGTACTAGCTGCATCCGCTGCAATGCCGCTGTCGAAAGCACCGTAAGCGTTGTATTTTCCTGCCCCCACGCATCTTATGTTTTGAGTCAGAGGAGATGTATCCCGTAGGCTTGAGTACAGCGTCGCCCCAGAGGCAATATCCAGTGCGAACGCAGTATATCAAGCACGGAAAAACTTGGAAGACGAGATTGCAGATAACCTTCGAGTCGTTGCAAGGCTCCGATCACGTTTGAACACCCTCACGCCCATTGCACGCCTTCCTCCGGAGCTTTTAGCTGCCATCTTCGCCCATTATATTGCCCAATTTCCAAAAACTGCCAGCACCCACTACTACAAATGGTTGCAAGTAACGCATGTTTGCTCGCGGTGGCGCCATGCTGCCCTTGCATTCCCCACGCTATGGGCTCACATAGTCCTTCCTGCCGATCCGGAGTGCGTGGACGAGATGCTACTGCGCTCGGGTGCAGCTCCTCTCTCCGTCAGTGCCAGCTACTCGCGCATGCGCTGGTCACAATCAACAGAAGATCCAGAGTGTCTCGCCCTGACAATGCACCATCTGTCGCGTATACAACACCTATGGCTTTCGGCCCCTCCACATATATTGGAGTTGCTCTGGGACGAATCGGATGACCCAGCCTCTCTGGAATCGCTCATGTTAATCAGCGACACCTTCCCATTCGACCCTGTACATGGCCCGGCTTCCCAGCGGTTGACGATACCTATCCTTTTCCCGGTTAGCCGAGCACCGCGTCTTCGCAGCCTTGCAGTTCACAACTATCCCATCTGCTGGGACACGCTCTCATCTCTAAGTTCTCTTCGGCATCTCAAGATTCGCAACAACAAGCGCGATCATGGACCCATCTTCATGAGCAAGTTGATCAGTGAGCTGGAGAAAATACCCGCATTAGAGTCCCTCGCGCTCGATACCATCTTTCGGACCGACGAGGAAGCCACTGGACGGATACTCGCCCTATCCCACCTCCAGTCCCTCGAGCTTGCGGGCGACATGTCTCGATGCGTCGACTTCCTCAATCATCTCACGCTCCCGTCCAACATCCGCTTGGTCATTCGCTGCGACGGGAACGATGTGCAGGCATTATCCCGGGCCCTTGCTGCGAAGGTCTCACAGCCCAAGCGAAAGCCGCTGAAAAGCTTGTATGTGTACGAACTCGGGGGGGACTTCCACCTTCACGCCTACGAACATGACCACCGTCAGCTGTTCGCGAGCCTCCGCAGTCCGCGCTCACTATTTGACGTAGAGGCGCCTATCTTTGATGATGCGGAAAGCACGCTCTCTATCGTGTGCGCCGGCCGCGGCATACACATCACGGCCATTCTGCTCGCCATGTGCAAGGCGCTGCCGCTTGCGAACGCCCAGTCCCTGTTTGTGTCGGGCGAGATGATGGCGCACGAGCGAATGTGGCTTGAAACGTTTGGGAAGATGAAGAACCTCTCCGCATTGTGGGTGCACGAGGATGCGGGGACCGTCTCGCTTTCCAAGGCTCTCCTCCGGCGCCAGACCCGGCCACATGGCATATCGAAGGACAGGCCGGAGTCCTACTATTTCCCCCACCTACGATTGTTGAAGTTGCACGGTCTCCGCTTTAGGACGGTCGACGAATACTGGGGCGACGAGTACGGCGCGTTCGCGCTGTCCCTTCTGGATTGCTTGACGGACCGCGCCAAGCACGGGGCAAAAATCTCAAAGCTGATTCTGAAGACCTGTATCAACATGGAGAAGGACGACGTCGAGTATCTTCGGAAACATGTGGGGTCCGTCATATGGGATCACGTGGAAGATTATGATGATCGGGTTGAAGAGGACGATGTAGTCGATGAGGATGAAGACGATGACGAGGATAACGATCAAGATGATGACATTCACGATTGAAGTATGACGGCGGGACACCTGCATTAAGTTAAATCTCACACGACTGAAAATTCTGAAGATACGTAGAGTACAAGCATATTGCATTTCCTTGTCGAACTGCAATTCCACTCCATCCCACGATATACTTCATGCATGATGCTCTATTCCCCACTACTACAGCTGTCGTAGAGCGCGTGCTTGACACTGATAGTGCCTAAACACGAAAGGTCTCTGAAACTTGATTAACTGCACATATAACAAAAACAAGATATTCGGGCTTCAGATATCGGTACGATAAGTATTTGTTGTCACCGAGAATAAATGAAAGTTGGATCTCACTTCGTGTTTCCACTACTGCACCTTCACATAGTTCGCTATAATCACATCATAAGTAAAAATCCAGCCAATGAATAAGGACACGCACCAGGGAAAAATCCCACATTACCATGCACGTCCTCACCCTCCCACCAATCGTCTGAAGTAGCCACGATTTTGATTATCCTATCTCCTTCACGGAACGTTAGCTCATTATCTTCGCCTGCTTCGTAGCTAGGGAACATTATATCAATATGGAGAACAGAATGTCATGAACGGGCACATACTCGTAGAGTGCAACCGCGGTGACACCTTCATTGCTTGGTTCGGGTTCGGGCTCGGGCTCGGGCTCGGGTTCGAATTCCCTCGCAGCCGCGACGGGAGGCTATAGAACGACGCACCATCAGCGAATGATACGACCAGCTCATTAAATAGTCTTACCGGAGG